ATATATTATACAACTTTTTTCTTAACAAAACATCTTAGTTAACCAAGTTAACGTTTTACTTCCCCAGTTCCGGAGTCATCACGCTCCACTGTGACGAAGAAGTGACCGGAGTCTTTACCCTCCCCCACCCACTCCTTCCCTCCTTTCCCCTCCCCATTCCCCTCCACTTCCTCTCCCTCCTTTCATCATAAGACAAGAGAACAGGATGACGTCATGGTTGCTGCTTGCGTCGGCAGTGCTGCTGTTGACCCTCGTATCTGGGCTGCAAGACAGTAAGTTTTCTAAGTACATAGGGGCTCCAGTGGATAAATGAGTAGTGAGTTTAGGCTCAAGTAATGTCGAGCAAGTGTCGGTGACACGGGGATCAGACGGGTGGACACTGGTGGGGTGTGTCCTTGAGCAAGACACGACAACCTTAGCTCAAAATACATTTACAGAGCGCTGCACAGTGGCGACCGACAGTTGCATGGTTGTAAACAGTTCTGTGTTTGTGTAATATCTTGTATTTATGTTCGTATTTATGCATGTATTTATGTTATGTACGTATTTGTAATTATGTATTTATGTATGTAAATGTATGTTTGTCATTGTAAACCTAAGTGCCCTTCCGGGACAAATACAAGTGTAATTTATTATTTTATTAGTATTTATTTATGTAGTTAAAGTAACCTGCTCCCCAGCATACCCCCCCCCTCCTTTTCCAACAAAAAGAAGAAGAAACACAAACCCAGTTAAAAAATAAGTAAAATCTAATGTGAAAAAAAGAAGAAATTAGATGTAATTGATTAATTAATAAAATCTTTTTTTTAAAAAAGGCTAATATCACTCCCATCCTGAAAAAAAATCGAACAAAACCAAAAAAAACAGAAACACAGAAACTAAAAGTAACCGAAAAAGGACCCCGGAAAAAAAGCGAGTAAAAATTCAAATAAACAAAGAAACAAAGGAAACTGCATTCCCCCCTCCCCCGTTCCCGTTCCCTTTTCCAGAATTATTCCCAAAACAAAACAAAAACCCAAATAAATATGACTCGTCTCCACAGTTCGGGAACCACCCCGCATCACGAAGCCTGACCGCCCCCTTAAGGTTTACGCCCTGCTTGGAGACAGGGTGGAACTCCAGTGTCAAGCACTGGGAGACCCTGCGCCAACGTAAGTATATCAGAACATTATTAAGGAGGAGTACAGTCGAACCTGGTTTAACAGCCAACTGTTTTAGACAATCGCCTGTACAATGGGATACCTGCCATTTCCTCCCTTCTGTTTTATTTACATTATATTCCTTTTGTTTCAATGTGTGTGTGTGTGTGTGTGTGTGTGTGTGTGTGTGTGTGTATGT